GTTTTCTCTAGTGAAATCCGCTAAGAAATAGATTAAATTGCACTAAATAATGTACATTTTCTTTACTAATAATTAATATAATTCATAAATTTTAGTAATTACAGTGAAAAAAAACGTATAAATATTAAAGAACAAATGTATTTTCTATGAAAAATTAACAAAAAAGAATAACTTTTTGTCATTTTTTAATTTTCAGAAATATTTAACATTTTTAATCACAATAAGACCTAAAAAGGGATAGTTTAAAGTATTATATAAGGAACATTTATAGAAACTTTTATAATTACTTTAATATACGTACAAAATACAACAAATTTTTCATCAAAAATTCTATAAATTAAGATATAGTATAATTAAGTGAAAAAACTACAATTATTTCAATCATATGTCGTGTCCCGCGGATTTTCCAAAGTACCTGAATTGTAAAGATTGGTGTACTATAAATTATTTGAATGTCGGCGGAAATTTGATAATAATATAAGAAAACATTGTCCATCATCGACTTGGCTGAAGGTCCATATGCTGAACTTCATTCATTTGAGGTCTTACAAAGGGCCTGTCTTGACCAGGATTTGAACCTGTGCTCACTAGTTCGACTTAACCATTCGGCTATTAGTCGCCACAATGATAATTCTTAAACATTATTCAATGGTGTTTTAAGTGAAAGTCCATATGAAATTAATTTGCTGAAAAAAAAACATGGGAAGAAACTTTAAGTAAAAAATTGTATTTATGTTTAAATTATTTATTATTATATTGCAAATCAGAGAGTTTATTGTACAAAAATTATGTGTTTATATTAAAAACAATAGATATTTTGGATTAGTATGGTTTGCTAGTGATTCTCCATCGACGGACTCTCATCACAGCTTCACTCAATCTATGAAAAATTATAGATTTTTTTTTGTTAAATTCAACATTCTTAATCAATTACATTGATGAATAATGAAAACTTATTGATAATACAATGTTAATCATGGAAAAATTGAGAGCAAAGTAATTTGCTGTGTAAAATTTTAATAAATATCTGTGAAAAGTTTTCTCTAGTGAAATCCGATAAGAAATATATTAAATTGCACTAAATAATGAACATTTTCTTTACTAATAACTAATATAATTCATAAATTTTAGTAATTACAGTGAAAAAAAAAACGTATAAATATTAAAGAACAAATGTATTTTCTATGAAAAATTAACAAAAAAGAATAACTTTTTGTAATTTTCTAATTTTCAGAAATATTTAACATTTTTAATCACAATAAGACCTAAAAAGGGATAGTTTAAAGTATTATATAAGGAATATTTATAGAAACTTTTATAATTACTTTAATATACGTACAAAATACAACAAATTTTTCATCAAAAATTCTATAAATTATGATATAGTATAATTAAGTGAAAAAACTACAATTATTTCAATCATATGTCGTGTCCCGCGGATTTTCCAAAGTACCTGAATTGTAAAGATTGGTGTACTATAAATTATTTGAATGTCGGCGGAAATTTGATAATAATATAAGAAACTTGGCTGAAGGTCCATATGCTGAACTTCATTCATTTGAGGTCTTACAAAGGGCCTGTCTTGACCAGGATTTGAACCTGTGCACACAAGCTCGACTTAACCATTCGTCTATTAGTTGCCACAATGACAATTCTTAAACATTATTTATTGGTGTTGTAAGTGAAAGTCCATATGAAATTAATTTGCTGAAAAAAAAACATGGGAAGAAACTTTAAGTAAAAAATTGTATTTATGTTTAAATTATTTATTATTATATTGCAAATCAGTGAGTTTATTGTACAAAAATTATGTGTTTACATTAAAAATGATCAAAAACTATAATACTAGTATGGTTTGCTGGTGATTCTCCATCGGCGGACTCTCATCACAGCTTCACTCCGTTGCCATTCGGCCAATTCCTCCTCGGTCATTTCTGCGTCGATGCTACTAGAATCCTCACTTTCCTTTTCTTGCTCATCTTCTTGGTTAGAATCCTCTACTTCTGGGAATGGTCCAAAATCGTTGGTATAGTGGTCGTTGGACGTGTTTGCAGGTGTATTCGAATGCACCTGGATCGGCTTATCGTAGAGATAAGTACCATCCATGCAGGTTGCAGTGAACACGGAATTCTCTTCGTAAAAATTGATGTAAGCGTGACCTTCGGGCAAGCCGGTGGTCTCACAAACAGGAATACTGATGTTCTCGATGAAGCCGCACTTGAAGAAGTGCTCTCCCAAATCGATCTTTGTAACTTTTGGATCTAAGTTACTCACGTAGATGCAATTGTTACGCGTCTCTTCTTTGTCGTCTATACTCATCGACGTGGATGGTTTACAGTTCTCGTCAATAATTTGCACTTCCATGGCTGTTTCGTGGATCTTACTACCATGTCTATCCATATTCCTCGGACTAACCTCGATTGGTTTATCACCAAGATAAGTGCCATCCAGGGTAGTTGCTTCGTATATGGAATGCTCAACTAAAAACTCGATAAAGGCATGACCTTTCGGCAATCCATTGACCTTAGGTATCTTAATTTTCTTGATGCAACCGCACCTGCAGAAGAGCTCATTCAACTCCTGTTTCGTAACACTATGATCCAAGTTACCTACGAAGATGCTGCTGTTAAACGCTTTTGCTTTGGCAATCAACAACTTATCGCTATTACTCAATGGCTCAATATCCTTGTCAACTTGTTCATCCTCCATCTCCGAGATGAGATTACTAATATTTTCGGTATTCAAATCCATTGTTACTTGTTGTGTTGCAGAGTAAAGTGCAAGAAATACTGTACTTGTTGCGTCTCAGAGAGCAGTGCAAGAAATGATGACTTACTCACTTTTACCAAACTATTTATAGCCAAAAAAATGTAATTTAGGGTAAAACCCTGATACCCAATAAAACTTTTATTACCATAAACTTTCTAATTTTTGATATCAGGTATATTTTATTACCTTTTTTCAGGTAGACAACCCTTAATGAAACTATAAAACTTAAAGTGTGATTTTGAAGAATTATAGCAATTCGTGTATTCTATTTTTTTATTACCTAAGAGTAATATATTGAATAATTTCCAGAATTGTAGTGAAATCAGAATCGTTTGAGGTTACGTCTAAGGTATTAAACGCTAATGGGTGATAGTATTATTCATCAAAAGGGATAGTCCTAAAAGTCTATGTAATGTTTAGATTAAAAGCTAAAATATTTTTTTTCAAAAATTAACAAATTTGCAAATATTTTTTTTTTTGGAAATTTTTTCAAAAAAATGCTACAAAACTGTAATTA